ATCTGTCGCAATACGCGAATGTGGTCCCGGCGCACCGCGCGCTTGAGCTCTGCCGCGTTCCCTGCCCGTGACCGCGTGGCATACACCGGCTCTAGGGGCACGCTCCGCCTCCGGTCCCGCCTCCAGCCGAGACTACTTGTAATTAGGCTGGTGTCAGAGTCCGCGATCTGTCGCAAGTTTCGCAGGTTTCGCGCGATTCGCGGCGATTTCGCGATTTCGCGATTCACGCGACGGGTCACGGAAATCACAAGTGCCCGATCAATACTGCAAGGTGTTCTCCAATCCTGCCGCCACTTCTGCTTGATAGTGATGGCTGAATGACGACTGCTCATGATTCCACTTGTTTCATATTCAGTGTTTCAAATGTTCAAATGGGGCACTTGCAATTTTTGCGATCCGCGCGAATCGCGTAAATCGCTTGAATCGCGCGAAACCTGCGACGGATCGCGGAGTTCGACACCAGCCTTAACACGTTGACGACCGCCGTTGTGCGCGTACTGCTTCAACATTTTTCGTATTCTCTCATCAATAGGCATTAATCCTTCAGCGTTTTCATTATCAGTAATGAAAAAATTGTTTTTCGGATCCAATAATGTACATGGACCGTTGTGGAACAGGAAAAACGCCAAATAAATTAAGGAAAACTAGTCTGCTCCATGTGAAAGTGTGGTATGACATCATACCACACGGTCGTCAACGTGTTGAGCGAGTCGCCTCCGCCAGTCCGCGCGCTTCGCTCCCTCCGGGAGAGCGTTGTGCCGGGCAACGCGAGGAAGCTGGACGGCTCGGAGTGCCACTGGCACTCGGCAGTATGGTCCGGCATGCTGTCCCGTCCTGTCGGAGCGCTGGCAAGCCAGCGTCCGCTACACCCGATGGACGCTGTCGGCTGCAGGCTGCCTTCAGTTAGCAAGCAGGCTGCCCCCACCGATGGACGACGGACTACAGGATGGAGGACGCGATGCCTTCGCATCCTCAAGCACGGCGGAAGATGACAGAGTTGGACGTCGAGTTTATGGCTGCCAATGTACGCCAATAAACATGAGCACAATTAATGTGTAGTTGATGTATAGGGGTTTTGCATTGGGCCCGTCCGACTAGGGCGCAGTTATTTTGTGTGGGCTGTTATTATTGTTGTTGTAGCCCGGGCAAATGAGCCCTCGGCCCTGAGCTAGGAGAGCCAGGGCCGTCGTAGGGCCTTGCCCCGCGAGTTGTGTCTCCAAAACACCTTTCAGCGGTCTAGAACCGTGATGCCCTGGGGTAGCTCGCAGCCCTGCTGAGGGAGACCAGCGTGGTGTCCAGGGAAGCATGGCGGTCTCTGGAAAGGCCGAGGGCCCAACAGCGGTCGTGTTTGGGCGCAGAAGAGCGACGCCTCTCTAAACCACGACAAGGGCCCCTAACTAAGGCTCACACGAAGGAAATTAAAAAGTCATTTTCTCCACTTCAACATTGAGTTGATCACAAATGGCCAAACTAGTATAATGCCATCTCAAGATCGTAGGCGCTGCAGGAAAGTGAATTCGTAAACGTCAGGGCTATCCTGGTTCAATTAAATGCGAATTTTGCGATGGAATGACAGCCTATTGGAAATCAAGTTGTAGATGGTCAATGATGCACAAAAGAAAACCAAGAAAAACGGCATTGAACTCGAGAAATAGACCCTTCCTTGCCCGGTAATTCCTCCATTGTGCGATTCTCATCGATGCCTTCCTCTTCAAAGCTAACGCTCGCTCTACTAAACAAAACAGAGGTCTCAGAACAGCGGAGCGTGCAGTGCGTACCGCGCGCAATAGGACGCGGGAGGCCATACTTGATCAACGGGGGCATATCCTTATGCAAATTACGCGTCGATCCGCCTCTCTCTCCACTATTTAGAGCAACACCCCCAGACGATTCGTGTTTCAACGGGAATGCGTAGGTTTTATACTTTAATGCACCCTAACGATCGCCAGGTATACCTGTGGTATCATCATCTCAAGAGTTGCTTATCTTACGTATGTCCCAGGGTAAATAAGTTGACTAGCATGTTGTCAATCATTTGCCTAAATCCTAGCTCTATCAGGAGCTCTAAGTTGCGATCCCAACAAAGAATGCAGTACTAGAGCTTTTCCTGAACTTCCTTCAGTTTTAGAACGTACATAATACCTCTCATTGTTAACTGGAGAGCTGTCACGGGAAGGTGAATCCTCATCTCTCTTGCAGAGGCCTCCAAAAGCATAGAGCATATTATAGAGAACAGCAACACCGGCTGAGTACCTATAAAAAGAAGTGCTTTAAAAAAACATAAGAAGTACTACAAAAAATACCGCACCTTTTTTTGATCATAGGAGCAGCACGCTGCCACTTGGTGTTTCCTACACGAAGATCGAGAAATTCCACGGAATCGAGTTTTTCTTTATCACACGTCCCTCCCACTGAAAGTTACAAGTACTTAGCGAAAATGTCAAACCTACTACTTAATGATCAAAAATTCGGGAACTTCTTCGTTTCTGACCTCTGACCCGTTTCTTACCACTGAGCAGCAAATTATCTCTTAAAAAAGCGAAATGAAGGGGATAACAGATGCTCAACGTTTTCAAAAAACAGGTAATCAACTGTTTAATTTTCAAAAATAAATGATTAGTTTTGATAAAATCTACCCTGGAAACTGATTTCCAAAAAATGGTAAGTCCGAATTTTTTTCCTGCACATGCGAGTTTTTGGGCTACTAGCAAATGTAATTTTCTCCAGAATGGATTCTTTGCAACTACGCACCACGGAAAGCGCAAGAGCTTTTTATGGACCCTTACTCGTTTCTCGGAGTTGATTTCCATTTCTTCAGGAAATTGCCTGTTTGACTTTTCCACAAGATTTACGAGACTTCATTCCAGAACGCAAGTTTTTTTTTAACATTTTACGACCATAACTTCCTCTAAAATAGTTAGTTTGAAAAAGAAGAAAAGCTTCATTGAAACGAGGTTGGGCTTTTCAGTTTTCAAAAATCGCCTTTGCAAAACTTCCTTCTTGAATCATAATAGTATGATCATAACAGATCAATAGACATTTACCTTGCCCTAACCATAAGTTGGTCCGAAAACATATGAATTCCTCCAATTCGGAGGTTGAGCACCAAAAATTCTGCTGTTTGATGCGCCACGCACCGGTCTGTCGTGAGGGGATGCGCAAGCATTTGAAAGTCTATTCATTCTTGTTATGGTTTGTGGAAGTCAGTCCCTCTGGTCCTTGTCATGTTATGAAAGCCTGACCTTACAGATATGGCACTGCTTCATTGAAGCTGCACAGAGTTAACATTGTCATCATTCTCCTTTTGTCCTCCGGCAAGGCTTTCTCTCACCGCGTAGATGTAGGTATAGGCAGATTACTCTTCGCAGTCAAATTCAAATCTTTTAGAGTCACACACGACCGTAACAAGGGTGGAAGGTGGGGGTCATAAGTTATTAGAAAAAATAAAATGAGAAAAAGAAAGAAAATCACAAGATTACAGATCAGGAAAAAATGGCAGTGACGAAAATTATGTGAATGTGCTCGGCGTGCCAAAGGTAACCGGAGACCCGCACCCATGCTGAGCAACTGGGTGATACATGATACAAGAAAAAACTTTACTATTCTAAGACTCCCTGGAAGTGGGAAAAAAGTGGATAGAGACTTGGTAAGAGAAGTGGTAAGGACTCATGATGGGCGGGGTGCGCTAGCACGTGGGCGGAATCTGCTCGGTAGACGATAGCATGGAGGAAAGTCAATGGTGAGTGATCATGCACCAAAGTGGGCGGATCTGAATCTGAGAACTTCATTTATTCCCTCCCATATCGTAAATGAACCGTGTTGGACAAGACGCGAAGCAGTGTGGCGCCAAACTGGCATTATCTACGTAATTAGTCAGTTAGCACAGATGAGTTGTTCAAAGGCGGAGTTTATGGAAAGGTAGCCCATCAGAAACAAATCTAGAGGTTTTCGGTGGCGCAGGAATGAAAGGACAATAAGAAATGGCCAAAATCTTGAGAAATGAGACCCCTTTCATTGCCGTTGATTCCCGCACTGATGCGACCCTCATCGTCACTGCCCTCTTCAACGTTAACGCTCTATTAATAAATAGCTAGAGCCCGACGGCAGAAGGTGGCGTGCCGCGGAGCGGATACGCCACTGCTAGATCGCTAAGGGCGTAACCTTCGCAGCGAAATGCGTCCCACACCCTTAGGAGCCCGCCTTCCTTTCGAATAGCCTTCCTCTCCCCAATCAGATTTCCATTCCTAAGGTTCTGCATGTAACCCTTGACATCTTCCCTACCTAACACAGGTTGCAAACTGTAACGTGAAAGAAAAAAAATAATGGCAAAATGAGAACGGCAGCACCCTACCAGCATATAATACTTTGTTACTCATAGGACGCTTCCGTGGTCGCATGCGTGGTCTTTGCTCATTTGGCCGCTCATGTGCGAATGACTGTCGAAGTAAGTAGTTCTGAAACAATAGGTAACTTCAAGTATGATGAATAAAATTAGCCTTTTTGAAAACGTCACCAGCCTTAGCTTCATCGACAAAATCTCGGCAGGTAGCATTAGTCATCACTAGCTCATCCTTGCTTATTGTGTCGACAAGAAATTTTGGGTTACACAGCGAAAACCGAACATGCTCCAACAACTAAAAAACACTGTGTTAAACAGCTAAGAGACAATAAGGGGATAGAACACTACCTTTGCGAGGAACTGTTGCCGAGCTGCCATGTCGAACTTGATCCACTGAAGCACAGTTGTGAAAACCTGGAACCAATTTTTATCGATGGTTCATCAAAAATGCAAAAAAGTGTCCAAAACGGGAACGTGAGCTCATCTACAAAAAATTCTGCTATATACCTGCTCTTCTGATCCATGGAGCTCCTTCGTTTGAAATTAATTCGATTAAACGGTCGACAGGGAGTTGATAAAACTCCTCAGTACAGACAACGTCCTGAAATAGTGAACTGAAAAATCTTTCGAATTTCAGCTTACAGTAAGAAAGAAATAACCTGGAAGTTGTGCAAGATATACTTGTCAGCGCAGCGAAGAAGCTCTGGACATACATAAACATCGGCCAACTTTCGAATCCCCAAGCAATTCGATGGACCCAACTCCTTCACCAAAAATTCGCTGCACACTTCCTGTAAACAAGCATGAATAGGAAACCACTTTTGCAAAATTTTAAGCTCAACCAAAATTCGGACCACCTCGATGATTTTCTTGATTAATTACATAATTACTTCGTTTGTTATTCCATTACTTCGACTTATTCGTACAACCTAATAGAGGGTAGAAGTATTAGAGGATCTGATCATGACATGCCGTCCAGACCAACTAAACCCCTACTGGGTGGATTACACGAGCTTTCTTTCGACCAATAATAAGCTTTTTTATTGAGCGCCGCCCGATTAAGGAACGCTCCACCCACCGCTGGCGGGTCTTCCTAGCTTGACGGAGCAAACCAGTGCACAACTTTACCATTTTCCGCGAGGTCTTCTATAACCAGACGGCAAAAGCTTTGAGTTCGGTCTTCTATAACCGAACTCGAAGCCTTCGCCGCCGGCACCGCCCAATTCGGCGCGTGCCCCGCCCCTGCGAGAGGGATTCCGCCCAGCCGACATATAATTTTGTATTTCTTTATAAATGCCCCACTCATCCAAAACTTGAACCTGCAGGTGGTTCTCCAGGTAGTAGCGAATTTAGTGATCGACACACACACACCGACTGACAGCGCTTTGTACATAGTAGGGATATTTACGCGAGTATTTTGAGAGTGGAACTGATCATTATAACATGATACAGGTGGTAAGGTAATCAAATGTGCGTCAGGGACTGATAGTTATGTTGAAAAATATTAGCGAGAAAAAGAGATATGAGGGATTGCAATGGAATCATTTTACAATTTTGAATGCTCGAAGCCATCCCACGTAAGCAAAAAATAAGGAAGCTGCAACTAGAG